GCGTCCCCTGCTTCTTGCATGCTCCATTGGGAAAGTAAGTAGTGACACTTTCTTCCCAGGTGTGTCATACTTCCTGCTCTGCACAGCCTCAGCTCTGCTGGCCAACCCTATGGCTCTGTGCACCTTCACCGACTGACATTGCACATGGTCTGAGAAGTAGCAAACTCCTCGTGCCTCTTCCTTCAATTGCACTGCGGGTAACTAATGCAGGAAACTAAGGGGCTTTATGTCCCTTTACTCCCCTGTATGGACACACAGCCAGAATAAGGATATGGTCCTAGGTCAGAGGTGGGCAAAATATGGCCTGGGGGCCAGATCTGGCCTACCAATTGATTGGCTCTGGCCTGTGGGTGGGTGCCTGCCAAATGAACAGATCCAGCCTGTGGGCAGGCAGAGACTCTGGTAGCCATGTGGTGCTGGGCAGCTGGGGCTGTGTCCAGCATGCCAGGCACTCTGTCTCTGGACTGGGGCTGCCACCAACATGGAAGCGTAAACCTGTTGCATCCATAGCTATCCAAATGTGGCTGGGTCAGGGCTCCAGGGGTGCGGGGGGGAGGGGCAGGGTGAGCTAGAGCTGCAGGCAGGTTCAGGCTTCTGTGTTGGTCATAGCCTGCAGCTATGACCATGTTTTGGGCAGCTGTGGACATGGCTGGTAGGTGCTAAGTCCAGACAGGGTACGCTACAGATACAGGAGGGTGGACTCTGGGTGGGCAGAAGGTGGGGTGCGGTAAAAGTTGAGGGTTCAGGCTTTTACGCTTATCACAGCCCCGGGAGAGGATGGGGTGGGGTGGTGGTGTGGGGGAAGAGACAGGTGCCACCCTTGACAGGCCACCCAAACTCATTAGGTGGCTCAACAGCCCAAATAATTGCCCACCACTGTCCTAGGTGGTTGGCAGAAATACAGAGCAGGGTCTATTTTTTTCCTTTAACCCTTGTCTCTTTGCTTTCTTCTTGATACCTTAACTTTTCTCTTTGATGATCACTTTCTCTTTTAGCTCAAGATGACTGTAGCATCTTAGCTTTCATCCTTTCTTTGCTCTTAGACTTCTTCCCCTCTACCTTGCAGAGTTATCACTTTACTTTGCCTCCTGCAGTGCCATGCAAGAACTCAAGTCGCATGAACAACAGCATTATTTATCATTCTCTCCCTTTCCAGGATGACTTGCTATTTCTGAAAAGCACTCAGCCGCATGAAAGAGCATACTACAGTTAAATACAGACAATGCTTAAAGGGCCATATCCTCTAGCATTGGTTTTTACACAGCACTGTGCATTGATTTCCAATAGGAAGGCAGTTCAAGTAGCTAACATTGAAGGCAGGATCCTCTAGCTAAATATCAGCCATTTAAAGGCAAACAAATGCAGCGTTGTACAGAACCCACAAGATCCTGCTGTGGCTTATCTTTTGCACAAAATACGGAATCCATTTTTGGGGAAAGTCAGAGTAAGAGCATCTCTCTCCCTTTTTATAGCTCACATTTCAACCATACTCCTGAGTCTGCTCACTTATTGACAGGTATCTTCCACCCCCTGAGCAGGGAAGCAAGGAGAGAAACAGCACTCAGCAAGAATATTCAGTTCTCTGCAAAATGGAAGTGAGGGTAGTCTAGAGAGTGCGAAGTCCCAGGGGCAAATCCGGGGTGGGGAAGGGAAGGGGGGCTTGCAGTGGTGCAATTGCACCCTCCTCCCCTTTGATTCATGCTTCACCCAAACTTTAAAACCAACTTCCTGGGAGGAGGAGCAGCATTTCTATTCAGGCAGCACTAAGAGTCATTTGACCGCACTGCTTATTATCCCTGATTCCTGCTAATCTCTCTCCACTCCACAGGTGTTAATGGGCCGCTTTCCTTTTGTAATGGTCTTGATGTTCCACTATTTAAACTCTCCTTTCTTCTGCAACATTACTGTCTGTTAGCCATTCCTGGTAACCTCTCTCTTCTGTTTCACAGACCTGCAGACTGTTTAGCTCTAAATAAAGTCTTAACTCAGGTGTGGTAACATTAACTCAGGTGTAAAAATGACTGACAATGAAATGTTGGAGGCCTTGTCAAGATGCTCAAGAAGGCGAATTTTGTTTTATGGATCTGAATAAGAGACATACATTTAACTCTGATAACTATAGGACTAGTGACACAATATGTTTTGACTCCTTTTGCCTTGCTTGTGTTTACTTTTTAAACTCAAAATATAATCTAGCCAGTCAGGAAGGCTAACTGCACTTTTTCATGCATCCACAGATGCATCTCAAGCAGGTCCAGGGAGGTGACCCTCCCCCTCTATGCGGCACTGGTCAGGCCGCAGCTGGAGTACTGCGTCCAGTTCTGGGCGCCCCACTTCAGGAGGGATGTGGACAACATGGAGAGGGTCCAGAGGAGGGCCACCCGCATGATCAGGGGGCAGCAGGACAGGCCCTACGAGGAGATGCTGCAGGACCTGAACCTGTTCAGCCTCCACAAAAGAAGGCTGAGAGGGGATCTGGTGGTCACGTATAAACTTGCCAAGGGGGACCAGCAGGCAATAGGAGAGTCCCTGTTCCCCCGAGCACTACCGGGGGTACAAGGAACAACGGCCATAAGTTGACTGAGAGTAGATTCAGGCTAGATATCAGGAGGTGCGACTTCACTGTCAGGGCGGCTAGGATCTGGAACCAGCTTCCAAGAGAAGTGGTGCTTGCCCATACCCTGGGGGTCTTCAAAAGAAGGCTAGACAGCCACCTAGCTGGGGTCATTTGACCCCAGCATCCTTTCCTGTCCATGGCAGGGAGTTGGACTAGATGATCTGATTAGGTCCCTTCCAACCCACCCAACTATGAAACTATGCAGAGACAGAGGGTACATCTACACATGCATTCATGTGCTTCCGCTACTGCACATTACGCTTAGTACCACTAATATGAGGTACACATAAATATGTATTAGGCTGCCCTAATGCACAGTAGCAAAAGTGCACACTGTTTTAATTACACTAATGCACAGTAACCTATTTCTACTGGGCATTAGCATATTAGCACTGTTTTTGATGTGATCCTTTAACATGCAGTAGAATAGGCTACTGCACATTAAAGCGCACATGTAGACATGCCCAGAATGTCTCCAAGGCAGACCAGATGATGGTTACAGAGAAGGTTAATTTCTGGAGGAGCTGGGAGCTATATGCAGATGTACAGCTGAATGTAAAAAAAAAAAAAGGGTGTGGGGAAGAAAGGGGTTCAATGAGACCACACTGCTAGTTAAAGATAAATGCATTTTGTGCAGGGAGAGTTTGGATTGGAGCCTTTGGGCTAGATTCTCAGCCACAGCAAACTAGCTCAGCTCCACTGAATTCTGTGAAACCCCACTGATTTACACCAACTGCCTATCAGTTTGTACATTAATAAGAGATCACAAAAGTCCTTCCAGAACGGTAGTGTGAAGCTTGCCCCCCCAGCGTTGGCCAGGCAGTGGTGTTTGTAACTGTGTCCTGCTAACCACTGTGTCCCTCCATCTCAGTGCGGTTTAACTTGGCGTCAGTGGAACAAAGGGGCAGAAATCCAATCCGGTAATTTCGCTGTCGTGGTAAGTGTCTACAACTTGGTACAGGTCAGCCACTTCCACTAAAAGAGCTGGTTGCCCTTATGTGAAAGGGTCTGGTCCTGCAGACCGTCCTGGCCATCATCCTGCAATAGGATTACTCAAATGTGGATTATTTGTACAGAACGGGATTTCAGCTGACCACCCATTTTCTCTGAGGCACAAACATTCCCTGAAGCATGACATGGGAGTTTAGGTACTACTGTCCAGATACTTCTCAGAACCATGGAAAAAAAACAAAGAGTTTTTCCAGGGTATAAATTGTGGTTAGCAAAAGATAGCTACATTGTCTATCTTAAGCTGAGTTGGTGCTGTCACACACGTCTCGTGCGGCGAAATGCACTACCTATTAATGACAAAGCACAACCCACTTTTAACAGATCTCTTTGATAGGCCTAAATTATTGCGACTTGCTGCCATTCCATTGTTCCACGGAGGAGGAGAGAAGGGAGCAGCTTAATATACCACTAAAATAGCGTTCTCTCCTGGTATGCAAGTGCCTTGGTTTAATGCCTAAACATGGTATCCAGGTTGGCAGCACTGCCAGTTCATACACTCTGTCCTGAAGGTGAACTTTGTGTCTCCCTGTCGTGCCTCCTCCCAGTCAGTTTAGAAAGAGTGACGGTCAAACACCCCTCCTTTCAGGCTGTCTTGCTGAACCCAGTGTGTAAGGGGCAGTTTAGAGGGAAAATGAAGGAAAACATTGCTAAGAATGCCTTAAATCTTTCTGCAGGATGGAAATGTTGATCTATTATTAATTCCCTTTCTATGAACTCCGCCCCTGAGATTCTGTGCAAGGAGGGTGTGATTTTGTATATATTGAAGTCCAGGCCAAAACACCCCCTGATTTTAATGGGAACAGGACCGGGCTCTCAACACTCATCCCAGTCCATTGGAAAAGACAGCGATCTGTCTCCATAAAGGCTGTGCCTCAAAGAGCAAGCAGGAACAGGTTTTCCAGGACTGCTGCTCTATTTGCTCATTGCACAGGTTACTGGAGAGGGCAAGGGGCTGCTTTCTGATCACTTTACCTACCCAAAGCGTTTTAATTGATTTGTGTCTATGGCTGTTCTAGGTACCAGTTTCCTAGAACGTACCTGGGGAGCTGCACAAAAACTTATAAAGAGAACAGAGCTTAGCTCAGACTGAATGAGCCAAAAAAAGAAAGAAAGAAAAAAAAGAAAAAGAATCCAAAAGGAAGGGCTGAGAGCGGAAGAATGGCTATTTCCAGACGTAATAATTGATTTTTTGTCCACATGTGAGTTCACAAATAGGGTGTGCTTGTACCTTTCTCTATCTGACTGCAGATACCAGGCGGGTAGTTAACAGGGCAAAATGATAAGCTGATCCCCACCTGCAATTCATTTCCGCAGGCCAAAATCTACAGGTGCTGATTTGGAAGATACAAGCTACGAACCCATAGGTAGAGACATGAACAAATACAGGCCAAAGAAGTGAGTGTTAAAAGGAAGAAGTCTGACCTTGAAGAAGCGGATGAGCGTCTTTTAAAATGTACTCCTTGCTTAGAGTCACTGGCCGGCGTGACTTCCTAGATTTAATTTTTCAGATTCTCTCACCCTGTCATTAATATTGGTGACTGAAAGACATGAGAGGCCAGTCCCTGAAAGTGCTTTGCGCAGTTGATTCCTGGAACTACCATGCTTTCTGCTGTACGGGCATTTGCATCTGCTATGTACCAGCCGCCTTTGGGAGGATCAAGGGCCCAGGAAAGCAAACAGGCGAGTTACCAAAAGGAAACACCTGGGAATTCTGCTTGGAGTCACTGTCATGCGATTAGGGAAGAAGCAAATCCCCGACTGAAATCAACCACCCGGCAAAGTTCTGCAGGATCCCGTTTCACGCTAACTGCATTACAAACGCGGAGACTTGCACTGGACACTTAACAGTCATTTGTTAATGCCTGCCGGGGACTCAGAAATGCCAGCGTCCAAATCAGATTATGAGAACAGTGGCTGCCAATTGGAGGGACCAAGTCAAACTGGCCTGGTTCCCTCCCCTGACTCCAGGGCTTCATTCGGGCTTCGTTTTTCTCTTCTCTTGCTAACTTTTTCTGACCCCAGCAATGCTTTCCTTCCCACTCCTCCTACCCACTGCAGCTTTTCCTGCTGCCCCCCCAGCCCCTTGAGACCACTTCCTTTCCAGCCGCCTTCCCAGCTGCTTGCCCTCCCTCACTATGTTAGGGCCCACTCTTTTGAAACATGAGTTGGTCCCATTATACTGCCTGACCTTACCTTGTTTGTGCCAACTGAGCTGGAGCGGATCGAAAAGGATGCTTGCAAATGGTGCTGGACTGGAAAGGTGCTAATTTGGGCCACTGTAGGCCTAGGGCTTCGTGTACAGCTCCTTTGGCAAATGATGCTGTAATCTAAGGATGATTTTGCTTTATCATTTGTACTGAGCCCAGGCATGAACCAGGACTTCACTGAGCAAGGCGTTATACACACTCTCAAGATGATCTTTATTCCCAAGTAGCATCCATAACTCTCGTGTTTTCTTAAGGACATACAGCAGCTTTTTAATTGCCCAGGCAAAAATGTGTTCTCCTTAATTCACCAGTGTCTTGTCTTTCTCCCTAATCTTTTCAACTAAAAGATTAAACTTCCAATATTTAAACTTCTTCGCCATCCCCCCCTCTGTAGAAGTGAATATAGGTATTACATAAATAGCCAGTGTTTCGTACACTTGTATACGGCACGGAAGATACCAGGCAGCTGCGCAATCCCATTTATTGTGCTTGCATGACATTCGTCCTATGAAAGCATCCTGGTGTGTTGGTAGAAGTTTTTTTTCCCTATGAAACAAAAGGATCTTATAGGGAAGGCTTTCCAAATACAACACTTGTTTTGCAAGCAGGGAAACAAACCATCACAGAGAGCACAGCTCTGGGCAGGAGTTTGGTGTGAATTTAATTCAGTCGCTCTGATCTTTGGACTCTTACATAGTTTGCCTCATTATCAACTATTTTGCAAGGAATGATATAAACAGCCTCCTGTTAAAGACTGCTCCAAGTGTAATGTGATCCAGATGAGAGATGCCCAGCTGATGGCAGCAATGATAGATGTAAAAAACATGCCGATGCAGTCTATTCCTCCTAGAACGAAGTAGAGGCAAAACCAAGCGAAGGTTTCCTCTTAAGAGATAGCAGCAAAAATGGTCCTGAAATTCGGTTTGATTAGTGGGCTCTCCTTGAAGGAGTTACCCCTGAGTAGCCAGCCAAGTCTGCTTCTAGATAAACATTAGCCAATGCACCAATGAGTGGGAGGACTAATTACTCAATGAGATTTGTATTGTCAGGAACAGCATAACCTTCTTTGGGGCATCTTTGTTTTTTATTGTTATTGCTATGGCAACCTTGACCAGAGGTGCCTTTTGGGTGGTGGTGGTGGGGGGGTTAACCTCAGAGACTGATTAAAACAGGTCAGACAGTTCACCACTTCCTTGCCCTTCTGTCCCTGGCCCTCCAAGAGGGGATGGTACCCACCCAGCCGTCCCACCTCTGCCCACCCAGGGTGCGCTCAGCAGCTGGCACCCGGCTCCCTTCTCATGCGAGCCCTTTGGAGGTGGGGGCACCCTGCCCGGAGGGCTTCCACTCCAGTTTCTTCAAAGCCCGGGTCCTTTCAGCTCCTTCCCCCTCTTCCTCCAGACCACCCTGCAAGCCTGCGTGACAGGAGGAGAGAGCAGTAAACTGCTCAGCCTTTCGCTGGGAAACTTCTCTGCAATTGCAAAGCGCCCATTAAAGCGCAGGTTGTTTCCTCGAAGCCTGCCCGAGCCGGGAGCTCGTAAAGCCCTTCGGGGCTTCTCGCAAGCCTTCCCTTTTGAAATGCGGGGCTGGGAGATGAAAGGCTCAGTCTCCCTGGCTGTGCATTTACAGGCTATTGTCTTCCCCGCAGGACAGCTCTCCCTCCTCGCTTGTGTTATTGCAGTTAATCCACTTAAATGCCCCTGGATTTGCAGATGAGCTGCCGCCTTTGCTCCCGCGATTAAGGCGCTTTGTCTGGAGGAGAAAAGGCGGCCGCTGTCCGGGGGACAACGAGCGCCGGGCGCGGGCAGGGGGCCGCGGGCACCTCGTGCCGGGGGTCCTGCCCGGGACGTCGCAATCGCACTTGTTGGAAAGAAAAAAACACCCACTCCCCCCTTCCCCGCCGCAGCCCTCGCCCGAGATGCCCCGGACTGCGGTCCGCGCGCCGGCGGACATGCACGGTGAGCATATGTGCCCCCCGGGCCGGCCAGCCGGGACTCGCCCAAATCATGGCGATGCCCGGTGCCTCCCCGGCGAGGCAAGGTGGATGCCTTCAGGTTGCAGCCTGATCTGCGCAGAAGCTCCCCCCCCCCGGCCCGCCCTCGCCCTCGCCCTCGCC